ATGCGGCCGTTCACACAAGGCCGGATGCAGCCTTTGCTATTAGGCAGCTGGCTAGGGTTATCAAATCCCCTAATGAAGAGCAGGTAGCAGCTGGAGAGAGAGTGGCCAAGTACCTTGGCCAAACAGCAACTGTTAGACTGGAATACTCCGCGCGGCACAAAGGCGTCAAAAAGGGGCGGATGGAGTCGAGCCCGGGAGGCTCTTTCTCACCGCCTTCTCTGATGCATCTTGGGCATCAGAAGCGGAGGATATGATAAGTGTGGGAGGCTTCATCTGCTATGTTGGTGGAGGCCCAACAGCTTGGGAGAGCAAGGAGCAAGTGGACCAAGCATTGAGCTCGGTGGAGTCCGAGTACATGGCACTCTTCCGTGCCGTAAGGGAGGTTGTGTGGCAGCGGCGTTTGCTAGCTGAATTGGGGAGGAGCAGCAAGGACCTACCCCACTTTACTGTGATAGCCAGGGTGCTATTGCATTGGCTAAGAACCCGGTTCTTCATGGCCTTACCAAGCACATGAAGGTGAAGTGGCATTGGGTGAGGAGCATGGTAACCGCGGGTGAAGTGGAGTTGCACTACGTGAAGACGACGACGCAGCCTGCTGATATGATGACCAAAAGGCTGCTTGAGTAGCAGCATTGGAAGTGTTGCAAGCTTGCTGGGATGGTTCTGAACTAAGGGGAGCAGATTCTAAGGCCAATAATCCGAGGGGGAGTTTGTTGGTGCAACCCTATGGCTTGCACTCAGCTTGTCGTCCTTGTTTGTGTGTGTGCATGCATGGCATGGAATGACTTGTGAGTCTATGTCATTGCTATCTAGTGCTTGTGTGTGTGTTTGAATGGTGTATCACAATGTGGTTTGTGTCGATCAAGACATTAGCGAGTTTTTACAACTCGCATGTCAAGTCGTTGTTTGCGTGTCGCATGTGTTTTTTTCTATTTTGTCGAGTGTGAAGTGTCCATCGCATCGCAGGTGTGTGCAGCAAGACCCCATCATCTCAAGAAGAATTGATCTTGCTGAACCAAGACCAAGAGCTCAAGATTTCAAGCCCAAGGGACGTGGACAAATATTAAAATAGTGAATATAGTAATGCTACTTCAAGTAGTGTTACATTTCACTTCGTGTAGCCCCTTGTTGGGTTTGTTTCGAGTCTCCTCATGGTTGGGGAATCTGTGGTGGTGTACCACCAACTTGGACCTCGGCTCTTGGGGTATGTAGAGGCTGGGAACCATCCCTACCTCGAACTCTTCTTGCTAAGTTTGTACTTCCAAGACTATAGTGAAGGGGGCGAAGGCGGAATGAAGGGGAGAGAAGGCGGAATGAAGGGGGGAGAAGGCGGAATGAAGTGGAGAGATGGCGGAATGAACGGGGGAGAAGGCGGAATGAAGGGGAGAGAAGACGGAATGAAGGGGGAGAGGCGGAATGAAGGGGAGAGAAGGCGGAATGAAGGGGGGAGAAGACGGAATGAAGGGAGAGAAGGCGGAATGATGGGGAGAGAAGGCGGCATGAAGGGGGAGAAGACGGAATGAAGGGGAGAGATGGCGGAATGAAGGGGGGCGAAGGCGGAATGAAGGGGAGAGAAGGCGGAATGAAGCGGGGAGAAGGCGGAATGAAGTGGAGAGATGGCGGAATGAAGGGGGAGAAGGCGGAATGAAGGGGAGAGAAGGCGGAATGAAGGGGGAGAAGGCGGAATGAAGGGGAGAGAAGGCGGGATGAAGGGGAGAGAAGGCGCGATGAAGGGGAGAGAAGCGGGATGAAGGGGAGAGAAGCGGGATGAAGGGGAGAGAAGGCGGAATGAAGGGGAGAGAAGGCGGAATAAAGGGGGAGAAGGCGGAATGAAGGGAGAGATGGCGGAATGAAGGGGGGAGAAGGCGGAATGAAGGGGAAAGAAGGCGGAATGGAGGGGAGAGAAGGCGGAATGGGGGGGAGAAGGCGGAATGAAGGGGAGAGAATGTGGAATGAAGGGGAGAGAAGGCGGGATGAAGGGGAAAGAAGGCGGAATGTAGGGGGAGAAGGCGGAATGAAGGGAAGAGATGGGGGAATGAAGGGGGGAGAAGGCAGGATGAAGGGGAGAGAATGCTGTACGAAGGGGAGAGAAGGCAGGATGAAGGGGAGAGAAGGCGGAATGAAGGGAAGAGAAGGCGGAATGAAGGGGGAGAAGGCGGAATGAAGGGGAGAGATGGCGGAATGAAGGAGGGAGAAGGCGGAATGAAGTGGAGAGATGGCGGATTGAAGGGGAAAGCGGGCGGAATGAAGGGAAATGTGGAGGGCAGGGAGAAAGGGGAAAGGGAAAGGCGGAAGGCAGGAAGAGTGGTGGCAGAAAAGATTGGGTCAGGGGAGATGGTGACGACAGGGAGATAGGGGCAGGGAATGTGGAGGGCAGGGAGTACGGGGGCAAGGGAATGGGGGAGATAAGGAGATATGGGCAGAGGAATGGGGATGGCAGGGAGAAGCTGGACTGGGGAATGTGGAGGGCAGGGAGTGAGGGGATAGGGAAAGGGGAAGGAGGGAGAGTGGTGGCAGGAAGATTGGGTCAGGGGTATGGGGAGGAGAGGGAGATAGGGAGTGGAGCGGGCAGTAGTGTAAGAGAGTTCACCCTCCCTCCCCTATGTTCCCCCCTCCCATACGGTCCATCTCTTCCATTCAACTCCAATACGCCCACTGTTTTCCCTGGAGTGCCCTCCAGGTCGCAGGTGGAGCCATATGGCCCAGCCCTCCGAGAACGCGTACGCGTAAGCTGTCCATCATGTAATGGGCAGAATGGCCAGACGTCAACAGCCGGGCAACCTGGCCGCCGATGTACCTGGGGGAGCAGAAGGTGTCCGAGCAGCAGTGCTAGCAGAGATATACGAAGTGGCAAGGGTACTGCACCGACCACCCTCAGAGCTGGCAGCACCACCGCGACGGGCCGAGTGGTTGCCTGAAGGCTCACCTCCTGAAAATCAGGAGGCATATAGAGGTGGTTGACCCCGATACATGATGGACGGGGGATAGGGAGAAAGGGGACAGGGACAATGTTGCAGTGTCGGTGTGTGTATGGTGACGGTGACAACTGCTGGGGGTCAACGTCTGATACGGTACTTGCCTGAGTGGTTGATAAAACAAGGGATGGGGGTGTCTGCTGTAGGCTAGAAAATAAGGGGGGCTAAATAACAGTGTGCATATTATTGTCAAAGCACGAACTTGTATTATAAATTATTAGGCAATGCAAAAGGTACTCGACATTGGGTCAAGGCCACTGGCAGCGGCACATCCCCACTCCACTAGGTGCATGCCCGCAGGGGTGTGGTGCTATGGATACGAGCACCTAATGGTAGCCAGACTATGAAGCAGAACAAGCCGCACTTGGTGTCCATAGCACGCCATCCCTATCAGGTGCCCGACCAGTAGTTAGTACTATCATAGTAGTCAGTGGAATGACAGTATATACGGAAGAGCTCATCACGTCAGCAACGTAGATTTGTGTGCATGTCTCAAGAAGCAACCGCCAAGTGTCGAGGACAACCATTACGTAATAAATCCAAACAGCGGCAAACGGTCGTGAGGCATGGATGCATCCACCTGCAGGCCTCACAGTGAGGATGGAGGGGGCAGGAGAAAAGTTAGCGTATGGGTGCAATCGAATGTGGAAGGCGAGGAAGTGGGCAGGGAAAGGTTGAAGGCAGGGAGAGTGGAGGCAGGAAGTTGGGGGCAGGGGAATGGGGGGGATGGCATGGAGAAAAGAGACAGGGAAATGGGGACGGCATGGAGAAAGGGACAGGGAAATGTGGACGACATGGCGGGCAACACTGTAGCAAAACATGGAGCTGGAAATGGGTGATCACACCCATAGAAAGAGGCAGAATTGCAGCAATTAACAAGCATGTGGCACTAGACAAACCAGCTCCCATTCGCATATCCATACAGAAAGGCACAACACCAGCAAAACATGGGTTGCTAACGTTAGGGGATGGGTTGCTTACATGGTGTACGAAGGCCGATGCTGTCCTTACTAGCCCACGTGTGGGTGGGGGTGGTCCGTGCTCGCAACACGAGGTGTGACAAAAGGCCTTCTCATGGCTGCCCTCTGTTCGGCTAAGGGACGGCATGGGACAACGGCGCGGCGTGGGTTAGAGAACGATAACTTATCAATGACTGGCTTTCTGAAAAACCCCTGGGTCCCTCTAAATTCCACCTTCAAACAACAATCCGCCAGTGACCCACTACCACAAAGCAGTGTGGACTCCGCTCACCGTGCGGCGGCTGATGGTGCTCCGGGCAGCTTGGACCGTGAAGGATTGCAGGACCTCGCCACGGGACTCCCTCCAATCCTGCAGAATGTCATCTGCCCACTGCCAATTCATGGGACCGAGGATGCGGTCCCGACGCTCACGCTTCACCCTTGTTACCCGCCGTAGCCGTGTGATGTGGCGTTTGACCTCCCTCTCCATAGTGTTATTCCAATGAATGACTGAAAGCGCAATTCGTGCCTCCATGCTACCCTGGATTGGTCCGTCTGCGGCGCTGCCCTTCTCGTTCCGCTACCTCATCCGGCCGACCGGCCACACTTTGTGCCAGCAGCAGCGATGCATAAGAAGACGGGCGAATGCCACGCTGTGAGTGGGGACCCCACGCAAACATGGATGCCACGTCAGCAAATACGAGAGGGGACACCGTGGCCACCTCCTCCGCGCTCTGCGGCCGTGCCTCGCCTGCCGCGTCATCCAGAGAATGCAGTGCAGCAGCTATTTCACCCCCACCACCATCGCTCCCTCTCACGCGCACCACCACCTTTTGCAACTCCTGGAATTTGAAGCTCGATTCGTAGTGGTCGCGCTTCGCGTAAGTGATGCATCCATGCCAATGACACACCGTCTTCACTAGCACCTCCCTTGTCATGCTTAAAGACAAGGATCCCTTCTTCCCTTTCTTCTCAAGCCAGGACAGCAAGTGTACCTTCTTGATGTGCCACAAATCATCGATAGTGCAAGCATTTTTCACCTTCATATCAGCTTCCTTTTTGGCATCCACTAACTCCTTCACTAACGCCTTGATAAGATTCCTAGCCATGTGTCAGACATCCATCTGATGCTCAAGCTTGAGCTCAGCCACTGCCTTGCGGAAGTTACTTCCTCCATCCGTAATCACACCCTTCACCACAAATCCCACCGCCATCAGCTCTACCATCCCTTTGAGGAAGGCCTCCTTCTCCATTCCGGTGGAGGACACTCCATGCCGCCACTTGTTGATTGTAACGCAGTGCAATACTTTTTTTGTAACCACGTCCATAAATGACACCGTACACCATTCTCCCTCCCTGGATTGAGACCATCTGCCATCCACTCCAATCCATGAACCCTGTGGATCCCTCGACATCATCTCTACCTGTACTCTAGAAATCGACTTCTCGCATTGCTTAACTATTCTTACCCACAGACCTAGAGGCCCACGCATGTAACTGTAGAACGTTTCCTTCACTGGAATGGACAGGCCAATGTTACACGAGACCTGCCACATGGTCGTGTACCCCGTCTCTGTCATCTGGTAGGCCCCCAATACCGTTTTGGTCAACCACGGAAATTTTGGACCCTTTTTCCCCTTTCTGTTTTCCTCCACTTCACGGTTACATGTCCACCACACCTCCGTGCGATTGCATTTCAAGCACCTCTACAGCATGCCTCGAGTCCCCCATGCATTCCTAGATGATTGGAGGCACATGGTACCACCACATGCCTCACCAGCAGTGCAGTGCATGGCAAATCGCTCAACCAGTTCTACGAACCATGCTGTCTCAATGTAGCAGACTGTTCCCTCAACGATTGCATTTGTGGCTGGTCGCTTGGGCCAGTCGCGGGGTGCTGGTGAGTGGAATTGGTGCCGTGGCAGGGCTACTGTACTCAGTCTGCCACCACATCAACGGGAAGGGGGGGTGTAGGGTTGGGGAGACAGGACAAGGGGAGAGGGGAGAGCGGGTAGGGGGGAATGTTGGCAGGGCAGATGGGTGGAATGAAATTGCATTCCTCCCCCCTGGTCCTTCGCTGCATACCTCCTTCCCTCCCTATCTCCCTCCTCCCCCCTGGTCCTTCGTGGCATACCTCCCTCCCTATCTCCCTTGCTTGTATCTCTCTCCTCCCCCCTGGTCCTTCGCTGCATACCTCCTTCCCTCCCTATCTCCCTCGCTTGTATCTCCCTCCTCCTCCTTGATCCTTCGCAGCATACCTCCCTCCCTACCTATCTCCCTCGCTTGTATCTCCCTCCTCCTCCCTGGTCCTTCGTGGCAAACCTCCCTCCCTCTCCGTCTCCCTCGCTTCGTATCTCCCTCCTCCCCCCTGGTCCTTCGCTGCATACCTCACTCCCCCCCTATCTGCCTCCTCCCCACTGGTCCTTTGCTGCATACTCCCCTCCCTACCTATCTCCCTCGCTTGTACCTCTCTCCTCCCCCCTGGTCCTTCGCTGCATACCTCCCTCCCTCCCAATCCCCCTCCTCCCCCCTGGTCCTTAGTGGCATACCTCCCTCCCTCCCTATCTCCCTCGCTTGTATCTCTCTCCTCCCCCCTGGTCCTTCGCTGCATACCTCCTTCCCTCCCTATCTCCCTCCCTGTCATCTCACTCCTCCTCCCTGGTTCTTCGCGGCATACCTCCCTCCCTCCCTATCTCCCTCGCTTGTATCTCCCTCCTCCCCCCCTGGTCCTTCGTGGCATACCTCACTCCCTATCTCCCTCGCTTGTATCTCTCTCCTCCCCCTTGGTCCGTCGCTGCATACCTCCTTCCCTCCCTATCTCCCTCGCTTGTATCTCCCTCCTCCCCCCTGGTCCTTTGTGGCATACCTCCCTCCCTATCGCCCTCGCTTGTACCTCTCTCCTTCCCCCTGGTCCTTCGTTGCATACCTCCCTCCCTCCCAGTCTTACTTACTTTGTATCTCCCTCCTCCTCCCGGATCCTAAGCGGCATACCTCCCACCCTCCCTATCTGCCTCCTCCCTGCTGGTCCTTCACTGCATACCTCCCTCCCTTCCTATCTCCCTCGCTTGTACCTCTCTCCTCCCCCCTGGTCCTTCGCTGCATACCTCCCTCCCTCCCTATCTCCCTCGCTTGTATCTCTCTCCTCCTCCCTGGTCCTTCACTGCATACCTCCTTCCCTCCCTATCTCCCTCGCTTGTATCTCCCTCCTCCTCCCTGGTCCTTCGCGGCATACCTCCCTATCTCCCTCGCTTGTATCTCCCTCCTCCCCCCTGGTCCTTCGTGGCATACCTCCCTCCCTATCTCCCTCGCTTGTATCTCTCTCCTCCTCCCTGGTCCGTCGCGGCATACCTCCCTCCCTCCCCGTATCCCTCGTTTCGTATCTACCTTCTACCCCCTGGTCCTTCGCTGCATACCTCCCTCCCTCCCTATCTCCCTCCTCCACCCTGATCCTTCGCTGCATCTTTCCTTCCCTCCCTATCTCCCTCGCTTGTATCTCCCTCCTCCCCCCTGGTCCTTCGTGGCATACCTCCCTCCCTATCTCCCTCGCTTGTATCTCTCTCCTCCCCCCTAGTCCTTCGCTGCATGCCTCCTTCCCTCCCTATCTCCCTCGCTTGTATCTCCCTCCTCCCCCCTGGTCCTTCGCAGCGTACCTCCCTCCCTCCCTATCTCCCTCGCTTGTATCTCCCTCCTCCTCCCTGGTCCTTCGTGGCATACCTCCCTCCCTCCCCGTCTCGTTCGCTTCGTATCTACCTTCCCCCCCTGGTCCTTCGCTGCATCCCTCCTTCCCTCCCTATCTTCCTCGCTTGTATCCCCCTCCTCTTCCCCGGTCCTTCGCGGCATAGCTCCCTCCCTCCCAGTATCCCTCGCTTCGTATCTACCTCCTCCCCCCTGGTCCTTCACTGCATACTTCTCTCCCTCCCTATCTCCCTCCTCCCCCCTGGTCCTTCGCTGCATCCTTCCTTCCCTCCCTATCTCCCTCGCTTGTATCTCCCTCTTCCCCCCTGGTCCTTCACAGCATACCTCCCTCCCTCCCTGTCTCCCTCGCTTCGTATCTACCTCCCCCCCCCTGGTCCTTAGCTGCATACCTCCCTCTCCCAGTTTTTTCGCGCAGCCTTGCCCTCACACTAGCTCATGTTCTGATTACTCAGCCTTGGCCTCGCCCCCTTTGCCCTCCCATCCCCCCCCCCCCCCCCCTCTTACATTGTCTGCCGAGGATGGGTGCTTTCAGGTCTCGCTTCCTCTCGCGTGCTGCGCCCGTCCGCCTCCATC